CCTTGGAAGCAACAAGACATTCCAGAAAGTTCTGTTGACAGCCCGTTTCTGGTTTTATGGATCAGTTTGCTCATGTCTGCCACGTAACTTCTGCCAGGAGGCAGAACCGCAGCTGGGAGAGCCCAGATTGCTTTGGGATTCTGGGGAGGAGGAGCTGAGGCTGTGGCAGACCCTGAGGTGCCATCACTGGGGTTCTGCTGGCTGCACTGCACATTCCAGTGCTCGGGATGTGCTGCTGGACACGGGATCAGCACCAGGAGCTCAGAGATCCCAAACGAGGGCGTGTGCCTGGATCCAGATTCCAAAGACTGGATCCAGGTTCCAAAGACTGGATCCAGGTTCCAAAGACTGGATGAGTTGAGAACTCCAAAGAGCTTCACCCCAGGGGTGAGGGAGTGGCACTTCTGGTGGGAAATCTGCCAGCTCCTGGTGCCAGGAGTTCTCTGGGGTTCTGGATCCAGCACAGCCTTGTTTGTGTCCAGATCACGAAAGGAACACTTGGATATTACTGGGAATGGGAATTCCTTTCCTTTGCTCCCACTTTTCTCCTGCTGGCTGCTTGCTTGATGGTTTTCCCTTGTAGAGGAAGCAAGCACCAATTCCACAAAACTCTAGAAAACATCAACAAGTGCAAAGCTGATTCCCTGAGTTCATAGTGTTCAGTGGAAGGAAAATATTTTACTGAACTGTTCCAATTTCCAGATTCTTCATCCTCCACTTCCTTTCAAGAGTGCGTGGGCTTAAAATGATCTAACTTTGCAAACATGATGTAACCCAAATCTGGTGTGATTTTATCTGATATTTACCATGTGTTTCATGGAATAATCCAGGTTGGAAGAGACTTTCAAGATCATCCAGCCCTGACATGGCAGGTACACCTTCCACTGCCCCAGGCTGCTCCAAGCCCCAGTGTCCAGCCTGGCCCTGGACATTTCCAGGGATCCAGGGGCAGCCCCAACCTCTCCCAAGCACTTTAGTCCTAACTCTGATTTTCAAGGCTTCTTTTCAAGAACTTTTGTTCTCTGCGTTTTCCATGGAATGATAAAATGTGACCAAATGAAACGAAGAGCAGTTCAGGGCAGGGGGGAAGGCTGGGATTACTCTGTCCATGATCCCTTTTCTCCCACAGAGAGCCATGAAAAGCAGCTGAGGCTCATTAGCAAGGCAGCTTAATTGGGCTGTAATTGCCAGGGATGGCAATAGTGCTGATAGCCTGGATGGATTTGAGAGCACCCTGATGATCAATACCTCTGATTATAACATTTTTTAAATAAAATTGCTTGTCCTTGACTCTGGTGGAAGGGAGAAGTCCCTCACACATCCCATGGGTTGCAGCTGCTCTGCTCAATACCAAACACTTTGTGAAATGGCCAACAAAAGCCTTTCCTTGCCATCCCATCCCTCTGAGGGGGCAAAATCCCCCTGACTTTGATTCTCTTTGCTCTGGAGGCCTTTTAGTTAAAAGCTCTCTAATAGATTTGGGAGTATTGACAGTAATAATGAGCTTATGGGTGAAATTGTGACCTCAGGGAAGTCAATGGAGCTGGAATTCCAGCATTTTAAATATCCACACATCTCTATGAAGCCTGTACATGTGCTCCCAACAGGTCAAATCTCTGCATTGATTCACTCCCCTTTCCAACAGTTTGCTTACCAAACATCTTTGAAGTGTGAGCTAATGAAATTAATGTCTTTTCCTCCTGCTTAAAGTAGAAAATAAAATTAACCACCTTTTCCCCCAGGAAAAAGGAGGGAGGTTGGGTCTGTCCTGCCTTTCTTGTCCGTAGAGCATTTTAAACCCATTCAGATGTTTGAATTTATGGGAAACTGTCTGAAGAACAGTCAGGATTCTCAGGGAAGGGTTTGAACATGACTTCTGATGCCATGGGCTGAAGATTTGGAAAGGATGATCTGAATTAAGGTGGGAATCAACATGTCCAGGTGCCCCTTTAGTGATAAGAACAGGAAATGTGGATAATAGGAATGTGGGGACCAAGCTGTATTTGTAATTTTTAAGACAACAAATAAAAAAGAATATCTCTCTCATGTTACATGGCAAAGCAAGGCATGCAAGGAAGGGATAATGTCTTGAAGGAAGGAAGGAAGGAAGGAAGGAAGGAAGGAAGGAAGGAAGGAAGGAAGGAAGGAAGGAAGGAAGGAAGGAAGGAAGGAAGGAAGGAGCAGACACTGGTGTCAGTTTTAGCATGGAGTAAGATCCCTGGTTCACAGCTCTGTGAAAGAAACTATTTCCCTCTCTATTGACATCCGAGCACTTCCAGGAATTTTTGCCAGGATTTTATAAACTGTTCCTACTCCTGTCACATATTCTGCCTGGCTGGGGATTGCTGCAGTAAGAACAGCCCTGCACAGGAGTATTCCCACCACACCAAAACCTGGCAAGTGAATGAATTTATCAGTAGATGGCAAACACCCCCTAATGACCCAGAGCCATTTCCTCCCTTGGAACTGTGCTCCAGCATTCATGGCTGTCCAAAGCCCTGCCTCAGGTTGATATCCAATCACTTGGCAGCATTTCTTAGAATGGAAACACAGGAAAAGCCCAAGGCTTCGACCACCTCCATTGGGCTGAAAAAAGCATCCCAGAAATCCATAATGGACCATGAGCAGTTCGTCTCCATCTTCTCTAAGGAGCTGTTCTGCACTTTGTGTCCATTTCCTGCTCCTCAGGGTCTGTCTCTAAGATGTTTGCAGGGTCATTGATCACAGAATTTGGGCTGCAGGGGACCTTAAAGATCATCCAGTTGCACGTCCCTGCCATGGGCAGGGGCACCTTCCACTGGTGTCCAGCCCTGGGGTGTCCCAGCCCAGGAGGAGCTGGAGCTGCTGCAGAGAGCCCAGAGGAGGCTCCAGGATGAGCAGAGGGATGGAGCAGCTCTGCTGGCAGGAAAGGCTGGCACAGCTGGCATTGTTCACCTGCACAGGAGAAGCTTTGGGCTGAGCTCAGGGCGGCCTTGCAGGGCCTGCAGGAGCCCCAGGAAAGCTGGAGAGAGACAATTTCCAGGGGATGCAGGGACAGGACACAGGGAATGGCTCCCAGTGCCAGAGGGCAGGGCTGGACGGGATCTTGGCAATGAGGAATTGTTCCCTGGCAGGGTGGGCAGGGCTGGGATGGAATTGCCAGAGCAGCTGTGGCTGCCCCTGGATCCCTGGCAGTGCCCAAGGCCAGCTTGGACACTGGGGCTGGAGCAGCCTGGCACAGTGGAAGGTGTCCCTGCCATGGCAGGGGTGGCACTGGATGGGCTTTGAGGTCTCTTCCAACCCAAATCCTTCTGGGATTCTGTGATTCTATGAATATGCACATCAGGCTGCTCCAAGCCCCAGTGTCCAACCTGGCCTTGGGCACTGCCAGGGATCCAGGGGCAGCCTGAAATGTCATCCTGATTCTATGAATAAGCACACCAGGCTGCTCCAGCCCCAGTGTCCAGCCTGGCCTTGGGCACTGCCAGGGATCCAGGGGCAGCCACAGCTGCTCTGGCAATTCCATCCCAGCCCTGCCCACCCTGCCAGGGAACAATTCCTCATTCCCAAGATCCCATCCAGCCCTGCCCTCCTTCAGTTTAAAGCCATTCCCTGTGTCCTATCACCACAAATAACCAAAGTCAGGTCCCAGATCACTTTTATTATTGTTGGTCTCAGCAAATTGCTTAGAAAATCCATTTATTTTTTAAAACAGTGGTGATGTTAACATGAATCAGTGCTGAAAACCCTCTGTCCCAATCCAAATCAACATGAAGCCAAAGGCAATGGTGATCAACCACAAAAAGGAAGGTTCAGAGTAGAACCAGGGGAAATATTGAAAATCTCCCAGCTCTGGAGGTGACACAAGGTGACAATATAATTGCAAGCAGATTTTCCTTTTTGCTAAATGAAGAATTGTTGCCTTATAGGTCTTGGAATTATTTTTTTCAGTGTCTTGGTCCATTTGTTGAAAGTGGGAGGCCTATAAATTTCTGGTTTAAGAGAAATCAATTGATTCTGTTTTTTGTCATAATTTTATATCCTTATATGTGTGCCTGGGACTTCCCTGTAATGTGAAATGGAGAGGGCTGGGCTTCTTTGCTCATTATTTTGATTTTTGTTTGTTTGAATGCACTGAGGAACAATGGAGTTTTGTGAGGACTTTAGAAGGACATGTCTGGATTTGGTACTCCTGACAAGCAGTGGTCACAGTCCATGAGTGTTGGCATGAAGGGTGCCTTGTGCCCCAATGAAAGTTCCCCAAAAATCAATGCATGGGATGGAAATATCCTTGCCCACCCTAATGCACCTTCAGGCACAAAATACCAGCATTCATCCTAAGAAATGAGCACATTTCATTATATGGGATTTATGAAATAGGATTCTAGAAACTGTTTTTCCACTCCCTATAATGCATAGATTGTGTAGAATGCTAAATCTGCTCAAAAGCTGAAAGTGAAAAATTCTGAGACTTTTTAAATTTAATTTTTAAAGTATATTTAATATCAAATATCTGGTTCCATTCTATTCCTGACATTTGTAAAAAACCCAGTTCCGAGCCACTGAGAGGGTTTGTTTCCCTCATGATGCATTTCAAAAAATGTGCTGAAATTTTATTTTGATCAGGTCAAAACATTGTAATATGACTTCAAATATTGGCTGTAACAGGCTGTCAAATACATCTGTCACAGTGTCATTGAAATTCATATTTTAAGGGGCTATAAAAAAACAAACAAGAAGTTAAGTGAAAGCAAAATTAATACCTTGTCATGATGAAACGTTAATGAATTATGGAAATGAGGAAACAAGCAGGCAATCAGTGCTGGAAATCACTGTGTATCCCCAAGAAATTCCGGAGGTTTTAGGGAAAACTGTCTTTTTTTGGGGAAGAAGCAAAGCGATGTGGCCAGTTCTGCTTCACAGGGCACTGACTCCAAACCAAACCATTATTTTTACCAAAATACGCCTTGAATTACCTGGAAAGCTGTGATGGGAGGTAGACAAGGATGTGCTGCCTTGGGAATATCTCAGCGTCCTTTGCCTTTATTTCCCAGGTTTTGCAGGCAGCAGTTCTGCATCCACATCCTTTCCTCCTCCAGGAAGAAAAGGAAGGAATAGACAACGGTAAACTTCAACATCCATTCCAAGTTCTCTGGTGCCAGGCACAGAATTCCCGAGGCAGCTGTGCCAGATCCCAGGAGAACTCACACGTAGTCGCTCAGTCTGTAGCCGCTGTGGGACGCAGATGTCAGGGAAGGAGCATGGTTGCCCTTGGAGGCACTCGGTGGCCTGGAGGATGGAGGCGCTCCGGAATGCGGCTGGAAAGGCGCCTCATTCCCGAGGCACGACGTGCACAGCAGGGCCCCACCCAGGATGCTCAAGGCCGAGGAGACAAACCCCAGATAAAGAGCCTGCCCTATCTCATACTTCATCCCAGCGGGCAGCGTGGGGTTGTAGAAATCCACGACAACATCGTTGGTGCTCCACGACACCGGCACCAGGCAGAGCAGCCCGGCCGCCACGAAGCCGATCCCGCCGGAGCCGGCGATGGAGGCCTTGGCGGGGCTGCCCTCGGCGCAGTGCGTGCACCTCATGCCCACCACGGCCACGGCGGCCGCCAGCACGGCCAGCAGGCAGGAGATGACCATCATGGCCCGGGCGGCGCGCAGGTCGGCGGGCAGCGCCAGCTGGGAGCGGTGGGGCTGGCACTGGTAGACGCCGGTGCTGTGCCACACGCACTCCATCCACAGCCCCTTCACGTAGGCCACGGCCGTGATGATGTTGGTGCCCACGTGCGCCGAGCGCCACCAGTGCGGCAGGACGGTGGCAATTAACGTCCCAATTAGGCCCAGCAGGCTCAGGGAGAAGCCGAGCAGCTCCAAGGCCCAGCTCGCCATGGGAATGTTTGTCCTGCGCCGTTCTCTTAATGAGGCGCCTCCGCTTGGGTTCCCTTGGAAAGCGCGAGCTTTTCTTGGAAGATGTGCGTCTGTTTCGCCCCGACACCTCCTGCTCTCCTAATAAAAGGTAATTGAGGGAAAAAGGAGTTAATTATTACCCCAAAGCATTGCCTCTCCAGCCAGTGAGGTGCATTTCAAGTGCAGCGAGGGCAATAATTAGCATAGTTATCGCTGTTAATCGTGTTTTTGTGGAAGTAATGGGAAAGCAAGCTTCCCTCTTCCCTTATATAAACAGCCTTGTGCTGCCCGCTGGGAAGAGAACTCAAGACAATTTATGAAATGGAAAAAAAATATTTGAAATGCAAATATTCCTCTTCCCAGCAGGCTCTTCAAAAAAACAAACATGATTTCCTCTCTAAAGCAGAGAATTTGGTAGTGTTAACACTTGGAATGAAGGAGATTTATAAAGTTGGGAACTGCAGGTTGCTTAACATGATGAAAACATTTCCAGAAGGTCATAGCAGGACTAGGAAAACAATAAGCGTGTATTTGCTCAAAGTAGGGAGCAAAAAGAGTGATTTAAAACCTGTGGAAGAGGATAACAAATATTGGATTAAAGTTGCTTTCGTGACTGGCCAGTATTTCTTGAGGTTGCATTTCAATAAAGTAACTCAAAGGGGAATAATTTTCATTAGGATCTGGGGAGTTTCAGGTCATGATTTCAGGTTGTGAGTGAAATGCAGAATCAGGCAAACATCCTGGAGCTTCTGAGGGACAACACCTTCACAGTTTGGTCGTGTATAAATCCAAGCTGGAAAACAAGGAATGGCAACTCTTCCTCCTGTATAAATCCCAAACTAAGTGGCCTTTTCCAGTGGCTGCCTTGCCAGCTCTGTTATCCATCACGCATGCTGTGTGTGGGCAGAAACACGATATTTTAATATAGAAAATAACCCTTGCATCACAATCCAGCCTGCAATTCAGAAACAGGAACAAGTTCAGGCTCCAGCTCTGCCAAGCCCTGTGCACGTGCTGAACTCCTGCTCAGAGGAGAAAGTGGAAGTGTTTGCAGGAGCTGGCCCGAGCAGGAAAAGGGAGGAAAACCATCTGGATCAATAATCAATGACATCAGGACAGCAGAAGGAGGCAGAGGGAGCAAAGTGAAAGCTGCTCCACATTCCCATTATCTCAGACTTGTCTCTAACGAGTCTGGAGTGCTTGGGGTGACATCAGTGCTAGGGTTGGGCTCTGTTGTTGTGGCATTTATTGATTTCTGCCTGACAGCAGAATCAGGGAATGGTTTGGGTTGGAAGGGACATGGAAAATCAGCCAGTTCCATGGGCAGGGACACCTTCCACTGTGCCAGGCTGCTCCAGCCCCAGTGTCCAACCTGGCCTTGGGCACTGCCAGGGATCCAGGGGCAGCCACAGCTGCTCTGGCAATTCCATCCCAGCCCCTGCCCTCCCTGCCAGGGAACAATTCCTCATTCCCAGTATCCCATCCAGCCCTGCCCTCTGGCACTGGCAGCCATTCCCTGTGTCCTGTCCCTCCATCCCCTGGAAATTGTCTCTCTCCAGCTTTCTTGCACCATGGGTCCTCTCTTCCCAAAACAATCCCTTAGACATTATAAAAAGAAAGGGGAAAATGGAAAAGCACAATGATTTTGTGGCCTGGGCAAGAAAACACCACAGGCTGAGGGCTCTGTGCTTCTACACATTCCTTTTATTTGGAATGTGCCATGGGATGGGCAGGAATGGGATGTTGGATTTGCTGCCTGGAAGGCAAGAGCAAACCAAAGAGCAGCTTTTTTTTAGTGTGCCTGGTTTTAGGAAAAATTTTCCTCCTGTTGCCAGTTCCTGGCCTTTCAGGTTCTCTTTATGTAACACATAAATGAAAACACCTGAGTTTATGTGGCTGCTGAAGGAATTTACCTCATTTGCAGATTCTGAGAAAATCACAAAAGGTTTTATATCAGAAATCATCGTTCCAGGGGAGGTCAGGCTGCAGATTTCTCTCAGCTATCACAAATATGACAGACCATGAGTTAGGGCCAAGCACAGCACAAAGGAGAAAATTGTTACCTGCAGCACTACTGGAGATATTTTATTTCTGTCCCAGCCACAAGAAGTCCTCAACTTTGCCTTGCAGGTTATTTGGGTTTGATTTCCCATATTAAGGAAAATTAAGCAGTACTTTCCCTTTTTATATTAGTATTATTATTTGTTTTGTGTGAGGTGCATCTGGATCTAAGCATGCCACACATCTCAGGGAAATTACCCTGGGAATATTCCTCCAGCATCAGGGAGATCTCCACATGGTTCTGGGGCATAGCAGGACCGTGAGGTGCCTCAAGACATCTCACAAGACATCGGCAACAAAGCTGGAAATGGAGCTTGGGTCTCCTGTGTCAATCCCAACACCACATTCCTCATCCCTGTTTTTGCCCGGTCTGGGCAAAAGACAGAATTCACAGAATTATAGAATGACCAGGTTGGGAGAGACCTCCCTTAATGCCAACACCACATTCCTTATGCCTGGTCTGGGCAAAAGACAGAATTCACAGAATTATAGAATGACCAGGTTGGGAGAGACCTCCAAGACCATTGAGTCCAGCCCAGCCCCAACAGCTCAACTGAGCCCTGGCCCCCAGTGCCACATCCAGGCTTTGTTAAACACCCCCAGGGATGGGGACTGCACCACCTCCCCGGGCAGCCATTCCAGAACTTTATCACCCTTTCTGGAATAAACTCTTTCCTGATCTGCAGCCTGGATTCCCTGGGTGCAGTGCGATCTCCAGCCTGTATTCCCTTGGTGCAGTGCAGGCTGTGAGCTCTGGCTGTGTCAGTGCTGCTGCAGACAGAGCCCAGCCCCAGCTGAGCACAGGCACCTTCCAGGAGCTGTGAGAGTGAGGAGGGCACCCCTGAGTCTCCTTTTTCACTCCTCATGATGAGCACAACCCAAGATTATCCTCTCCAATTCCTCATCCCACCCAGGACATCCACACCTTACCCACCATCCCGAGGAGTGATCCAGCTCACTCTGGTGCATTTGCAAAGAGGCTCCCGAGGTCAGGCACGAGGCTTTGCAGCTGATCCTGGGGAGAAAGGACCTCAAAGGAAAATGTGATTTACACCACCAGGCCTGGGAAATGGACCCCCGATTTAATGGAGGTCAAACCACTCTGGGGCTCAGCAGAAGCTATTTTTAGACGTCATTAAGGTGTTATTTTTAAACATTAGCCATTAAAAGCTTTCTAATTTAAGCAACCAGCGTTAATTAGCCCCACTTGCTCGGCATCATGTTTTCCATGTGCCTCCCTCAGGAGTTCCAGCTGCCCCTGGTGCTCAGTAACACTTTCACTGCTGGGCACCAGCCTTCCCCTCCTCGCTGCCAAGTGGTGAAAGCAGCAGGAACTCAACACGTTTTATCTCCAGGAACATCAGCAGCCTGGTGGAAATGTCTCACTTTACAGCTCAGCTGAGGAACATTCCATGGGATCAGGTGAGGGGTGGCTTGGATGTTCCTTGTGGGCTGAGACAGACATATATCAAATAAAAAATCAGCCTTTTTTTTTTTTTCTTGTGTGGGTTGTGTTTGTTGCTGTTTCTTTAGAAAGTGATCAAATTTTCCTTTCTCACTTGGGAGTCGCCCTTTTCTAGCAGGGAACAGCGACGGGATGAGAAGGAAAGGCCTCAAGCTGTGCCAGGGGAGGCTCAGGTTGGATATCAGGAAAAATTTCTGCATGGAAAGGGTGCTCAGGCCTTGGCAGGGGCTGCCCATGGAGCTTTGTGTGCCCATCCCTGCAGGTGTCCCCTGGAGGTGGCACTGAGTGCTCTGGGCTGGGGACAAGGAGGGGATGGGGCACAGCTGGGACTCCATGGGCTGGGAGGGCTTTTCCAGCCTCAGGGATTCTGTGTTTAGGATGAGCTGCTCAGACATTGCCTGCAATTCCGTCTGGGAGAAACACGGGAACCAAAAAACTCAAAGAAATAAAATAAAAGATGTGAGAGGGCTGTGAATGCCCAGGCAGCTGTGGGATGAAAGTTTATGGGGCCGAGAGGGGGGCAGAAGGGAGAGGGGAAGGGTGCCCTGAGTCCCTGAGCTGGAGATGATGGGGAGCCACCCTGCTGACCCTGCAGCTCCGCCTGGATCCAGCACATGGCCTTGCCCTTCCCCTTCCCCCTCCTCGTGTGCAGCATGGCAGCCCAGATCCTGTTTCAGGGCTTGTGCTGGCGCATTTTTTTTCTCCCTTAGATCTTTGCATGGGAGAGCTCCAGCCCCTCCATGTGGGACAGCAACACCCCCGGGGCTGAGCCTGGGGGAGGAGGGTCAGCAGAGGGGCTGTGCTGCCTCTGGGAAGCCACCAGCAATCCTGACAGTGAGAGGAGAGCTGAGGATGCAGACCCCCAGCAGGTTATGCCACTGGCAACACGTCAAATTTCCTTTTGGTCCTCAACAAACCAATGGTTGAAATGTTGGTGTTATAGATGGACAATGAGATGATTGGCTCTCACAATTAAGGGATGACTATTGTGTGACTATTAAGAAAAGCTTTAGTGATGTATAGTTATGTTGCTGTAGTTTAGATGTCCTCTGATCTCCCCATGGTTCCCTTTTCCCCTCTGTATTGCTGCCATCAGCCAGCCTGGGTTGTCCAGGATAAGTAAAAACAAGGTGTGCACATGTGTGCCTGGCATGGGGCAGTGGGGAATATATGTTATATATTATATATTATATATCATATATATTATATATATGATGTATAATAATTACAATATGGATAGACAGCTATGAATTGCAATAACTCAGATACAACAATATATAAATATTATATATATTACAATTACAATATATAATTATATATATTATAATTACAGTATGAATAGAGGGCTGTGAATTACAAATACTCAGATACAATAATACATAAATATAATCTATATATTATAATTACAGTATGAATAGAGGGCTGTGAATTACAAATACTCAGATACAATAATACATAAATATAATCTATATATTATAATTACAATATAGTATTATATATCTAATATCTTACA